TCTCAGAGCAGAGTGTGTGTATGAGAGTGCATGTGTGTCGGTGGCTGAGGGAGGGGATCCTACCCCTCCTCCTTAGGACTGTGCCTCCTTAACAGGATGGAGGGGTAGGTGGGGCCACTGCAATAAAGCAAACACACACACACACACACACACACACACACACACACACACACACACATTTTTCTATGGTTGTTATGTCCTCGCTTCTCTGGCTCTTTCCCGCCTCCACACTTCCATCTTTCTGTCTCTTTCCAAGACTTGCTCTCAACCTCCTTCCCTTGCAGACTTGCTCTCATTTCTCTTGCCTCGTGCTTCCCTCTGAATCTCAGTCTGTCTGCAAGTCTCCTATACTCCCCCCCCCCCTCCCCAGCTCTCATCTCACACCCCCTCCCTACCCCTTTGCCCCTTCCCCTTCCTCTCTGACTGTATGGTAATATTAACATGCTTTCATTAATCTGGAGACGAGAGAGACATATGCCGTTTCTGGCTGGTGGTCCACAACCTGCTCAACTCCTGGTGTGTGAGCGCGTATGTGTGCTGCGTGTGTGCGTCCTGTCGCTCTTTAGTCTCATGATACTACAGCGCTTAGATTAAACGGGACAGTCAGGGAGCACAGAGTGTGTTTGAGAGATGAAGGAGGAGTGCGACAGCGGGAAGAGGAGAGGAGTGGTGCCACGATCAACAGCAGCCAAGCACACTTTTTTTAACCTCTTACTGTTCTTCTTTCTCTGGGTTTCTGTGCCACCACCCCTCCTCCTCCTCCCCTCCACTCATCCAGTCACCAAATACATCTGATTCAGGGAGTAGCCATCCCTACATAAATCATTCCCTTATTCCATTGGCCACACATTACATTGAAAGTATTGATCCCCAGCTACCCTCCACCCCAGCCACCACAGCACTGATTGCAAGGAAACCCTTCACAACAGTCACAAACAGGAAATGGAAAAACAAACCACGGGTGTGCTTCGATTGACCATAATGGCGGATTCTGAAGCCTCAGACACAGTCACTGAAGGAGGGAGAACTATGCTGTCCTGCATTAAGCACGTGTGATGGAAATCCCAAGAAGGCATGTAAAACATAAAAACAGCGGGTAAAGCCTGAGCATTTAATCTATTAAACATACTAGGCAGTTTACAATGATACTGCAAAAGTGGAAAAATGTTAGCTACGTTTACAAAATAAGTTACCAGAAAACATCAGTATTAAGACTGCATAAAATAAGAAATAATAATTTGTTATGCGACAACATTTTGCCATAAACATAGCAAAAAGACTGAATTTATCTCAAGGAATAAAAAAATATATTTTGAGGAAACAACCGACGCTTTTTCACTCAGCATGGGTACATTTTAACTATCGGAAGAAGGCCTGGTTATATTGTCCACGAGAGAAACGGAGAGAAAACTGATACTGCAGATGTATTAACCTAAGATTTTGGTGTGGTTGAGATCATTTGTGATACTTTGAACCTCATTGATACCTGTTTGAAAATGACAATGATGATCGGTGGTATCAAAAAGTATCAAAGCTTTCGAAAAAACTTGGGATCTTCATTCAAATGTATAACACGCTGCAGCAAGCAAAAGAGGGAGTACATTGCCATCATATCAGTACTGCCAATGTAGTTGCAGAATGTAGACAGTTTGCAGGAGTTTGCCAGCAGTTTTTGGTAGGTAAAAACAAGAAATTACCCGATAAACAGAGCCTAGGACTTTCATTTTTGTTGCTGAGGTACCAACACTGGTTAGGATACTGTTTTTTTTTTTACCTATATCAGTTTAACTTTGAAATGAGTGTTTCATGACAACCCTAGATTTTTGATTGAGGACAGACATGTTGCAAACATAGGTCTTTTGTAAAACCTAAAGGAATAGCATATAGGCATAGATTCAATTTATATGCGCTCCACATTTTTTGTTTAATTGTCTTCATTTTGTTGCAATACTGAACAATAGAACTGCACGTCACATAATATTTCTCATATCGTGCAGGCCTAATAAGTACTACTTAAAGAACCATTACTACATACTTTGTAATATCTCTAAATCTGATTAGATCGAATAAGTTTTGTTGCATAACAAAAAACACACTTTGGAGCCTTAAACTACTTAATCGCAAATTTCCAAAAGGGGAAAAAAATACAACACAAGCAAAAAGTCCACAGTCCGTGGATTAAAACTGACCATCAGAGGTCCAAATGCTGTTGTTTCCATGACAGCACAGCTGAGGATACTTTGCACTTTGACCTTATCCCCCTGCCTGTGCTCTGAAGCGATGACCAAGCCCAGGGTCAATCAAAAATTAGGTCAGCAAGGGTCAAATGGTAATGACCTCACTCTGGTTACACAACCACACCGTATCAACCTCCTCCAAGGAGCATCCGAGCATCATTCATCCTAATCAGAGCGCTGCACCTTTGCAGGAGTAAGGGGTGATGGTAAACCTGCATAATGCGATAAAGGTGACAGTTTCTGTGACGATGCATAAATGATCAAGATGCAATATGGATAACTAAAATAAGACAATGTCCTAAAACTAAATGAGGGATGAAGCTTTGAAATGTATCTGTCCATTGTTGAAGTACACTAGGCCTGCACGATATCGGAAAATGGTGCTTTATGTGACAACATTGGGATAATGGTACAGTATGAAGTGCAATGGATAAAATAAAGAATGCCTATGACACTTTTTCTAAGTGCACTTACTTATGTTTTACACAATATCTGTGTATGAAATAAAGTTGTTTTTTTTCACAACAATATTGGCACCAATTGATCTAAGGCCAATGGTTAGCTTGAGCTTCTTCTGACTGCATAAAAAGGTGTGTAAACATAGCCATGTTAGCCATTTGGATGGAGGGGTGGATGGGTAATATGTATGCTGCATGAGAAAACGTTTTTTTTTACATATATCATTTGTTTTATTTATCGTGATAAATTCAGTTTTTTGCTTTAGATTTTACTACAAATGTTCATATTGTGATAATGATGAAATTACATGCACAGCCATACAGTACATGATAACACTAATATCCTGTAATAAATAATCGCTTCAAGTTCTCCTTTAGAAGAACATTTGGCCTTATCTGTCTCAATGACGTACTGCCACTTGGGATAGAAGAGTGCAGTGAGCACGAGGAATTAGAGCAGATAACAGAATTCTGGTTGAACTAATACATCTCAACACATGTACACATAGAAAGGCCTGAAAGTTGAGAAGCTGCACAACAGTTATAAAAAAAAAAAAAATGGTGCAATATAGCATGGCTTGATTTTTCATGTAAGGCGCATTTGATGGCTCGATGAGTCAGCAAAAAAAATATGGGTGGATTAAACCACTGGTAGAACAATAAAATATCAAGATCTAACATAAGTTATGGAGGACAACTTTCTTAAAGTACGAGATTTGTCTACGGAAAAGTTTAACTTAAAAGACATCCCAAGTGGCAGAGGAGATGATCTTTAAGAAAGGATGACACCGTCTCAGGGTAGAGAAACTGGGTTGGAAGAGAAGGGGGTAAGACAGATGAAGGGGTGGAGGGACTGATCAGAGGGGTGCCAGACACAAAGAGGCCAGGCCATGGCCAGTGGCACGCGATGGGCAGATTAACCAGCGTTTCCTCCCCTAACTGAAGCATTAGGACACCTGACTGAGTCCCGCCAATGGCAGCCAGCCAAGGATTTGGGTGTGCGTATGGGAGGGGGGTGGTGGTGGGGGGGGGACAAGCTGGGGCTCGCCTTTCAACACTCAGGCTCCTCAACAACACAAAGAGGGGTGGGGTGGTGTTCGTGGGGGGGGAAATAGGGGCTGGTGGCTTGGAGTGGGGAGGGGGCACCACAAGCCTTACCCCTCACCATCTGCTGCCCAGGCTAAGTGAGGACAGGGGTAGGGCCAGAGTGCGGGGTGTGGAGTATGTGAGCGCGTGCACCGTAAACACACGTGTAGCTACGTGCACGCACCTGTTAGTGTGTCAGTGGGTGGGTGGGGTGAATGGGACGGCAGATGGACAGGGCATACTTTTGGCACCAGAGCTTCCATATTAGTCATCCATCGTATAAGGAGTGTCCCCCCCTCCGCCCCCCCTCACCCCTTCCACAACATTCCTTACCCCTGCTACCTAATCCACAGTGCCAGCCAATTCTTTATGTTTTGCTCCGTTTGATTAAGACATCCATGATTAGAGACATTACGGGCTGGGTGAGAGAGTGGGTGTGTGTGAGCCGCTTATCCACGCGGTTGTTTACTGTAAGCAAAGCAAAACAGACGGAGCCCCTTTAACCCTACAGCCACTCAACCGTTTTAACCACTTCAGTAATATTACTTTGTTATTTTCAGAAAGTGTGGTGAATGATATGTTAAGGGGAAAAACCATGAAATTAAACCAGATCAAATCTGTACTATATCTATATACACACACACACAACTGCCCCAAGCCAAGCTGCACCCTATTACACATCAGATACATACAGTAGCCTATTTGACATAATTCCGCCCCCCTCCCTCCTGTGCTGTGTGTGTTTATCAGTGAGCTGCCCATTTCCCTCCATTTAAAAAAAAAAAAAAAAAGGGGTCAGAGGAGCAGACAGTTCAGTCTTGCTGAGCAGTAATCTGAAAATGCCTGTAATCCTCCATACAGAGCCCTTCTGGAGACCGTGATTGTAGTGGGGAGAGGTGTAGCCTCGTCTCCGTTTAGCAGCCATGTGTCTGACCGAGCTTGACACGCAACCAGAGCCTTACACAGCTGCCAGGACACACACTGAGAGATGAGGCACACTAGAGCTGCCCCCAGTCACTCACTGGAATAATTATGCCGTTTTTTCACCCTACACAATGCAGAGTGAGTGAGTGCAGGTCAGGGAACTTTTACAACACTCTGCAAGTGGCGTATCAGACAGAAATTAGTTCCCTGTTGTTTTTAACATATATGCAGGCTGTTCAAAAACAGCAGTGAGCAAGTCTACCTGATTTTTGGGATGAACACACCATAACACTGATTAATAGTCGAATAAATGTTTACTAGGCATCAGAAGCAGAATCAGTCACATTGTAGAAGTGACATTTCTTCACAGAAAGAGTCCGAAAATGTTCCCAGGGGACATCTGTAACGATGAAGTGGCACCGAAGTTCCTGAAATAAATGGAGAATTAGCGCATCCTTGTAAAATTCTCCATAATGACAAAACGCACCAGGGCATGAAAATAAAGCAGGCACTCAATATTACGCGTCACTTTTGGGTTGCTCTACTTCCCGAGTGCTTTGCAGCACTTCTTTCTTGAACTTGCCTCGGGTTCAGAATCGGAGTTGTAAACACATAGAGAGCTGTCAGTCTTGCACATGGTGCGTCCAAGCAGCACATCCAGGATGTAGTTCAGTCCCGCGACCACCTTTGGAAAAAACACATGAGCAGGAGTCATTTAAGCGTGTCCATGGTTTGAAATGACCCTTACCGTGCTTTGACAAGTTTTACCTGAATTTTCGCCGATGTTATGTTCACAATTTTGTAGTCAAACTGATGATCTGTGTTTGCTCTGTTGAACTCAACCACAGCAAACCGCGCTGCTTTCAAAACATTGGTGTTGTTTACTAGGACATCCTGTGGCTGACCGATCATCATGTGTTCTGCGATTAAAACACGACCAAAAGAGGCAAAAAATACCAAATAAACGCAGAAAAACATCCTGAACCCAACAAGTTGTTTTCCAGTAGCCTACTTATTGAGAGTCCTGTCGGCTTCGAGGGACCGTGTTCGCATTTAAAGCCGCGTTAATCAAACGCACACCTGTTTCCTATCTGTTAATTAGGCTACAATAAAGCGAATTGAATCACCACTCGCGAACTTCTGTGGGGCACGAAGCTGCTGCTGGCGGGAAAAAGACAGGAATACAATTTAAAAAGCAAAAGTAGGATTAGCCTATAATGGGAATAATTACTTAATTAAGAGAAATGGAGCAATGATTCAGTTTCTTGATACCTAAAGTAGGCTTACAAAAACTTCGAGGGGAAAAGTAAAGTCAACCCTCACACATTGACATAAATGTCCAAGTCAAATTCCAATTTTTAGTCACAATAAATTTCACAAATTAAGTGAAGGAAGAGAAAAAAAAATATATTCACAACATCAAAATTCAAGTTTTTTTTATGATTTCCATACTTATCAGCACCAAAATATTTCAATATCAGTGTAATTAGGCCTATAAAACAGATAAAAGAGTCAGAAATCATAATAGGCTATATTATACCATAAAGTTATTTAGAGTTCATCTGTATGTGTTCAATGTGTGACAAGTTATTTTACCTAGGTGTTAAAAAAAACAATTTCTAGTCAATTTTATGGCAAAAAGCTCATAGGAACATACAAATATATTCTATAATTACATAAAAAACATTTGTCAGGGGGAATTGTCACCATTAATGGGGAAATCATTACCCCTCTGAATAGGAATATTTAACGCCACTACTGTACATTTATAAAAGTCAAGCTTGTCATAGGCTGCTATGCAATACGTTGTGGAAGTAAAACATCAAGCATGCACACCTTCACCTGTAGAAGCAGCTCCATGCTGTTGGGATCTTTTTCTGCGGCAGACCATAATGGCTGATAAAAGGTAGAGGCTCAAATCAAGTCTGAAACTGTTGCCAAATGCAGTCAGTCAGTTATTTGGACTTTGTTTTGATACTGATATTTTCAACAAATAGTTTACTCAATCACTGCTAAAAAAAAAATAACAATAATATTACTTCCACTTATGAAAATTTACAAAGCTGGGAAATACATTTCATGATTTTCTTTCCTGAATCATCAATTACTTCGATAGTTACACATGCCACTCTGAAACTAAAGCAACATTCAATATTTCCAACATGTATTCAGTGTTGATCACTTTAAATAATTTTTCAAAATATTTTATGAAAAGCATCTTAAAAAAATTCTACTGATAAAGTCTAATTAAAATACTTAGAAATTAGTGATGGCTGATTTAAAAAAAAAGATTTCCAGAATATAAAAATGATGCATATCCAATAATTCTAGATACAATGGGGTCCAACAGTCTGAGACCACAGTCAGTCTACCTTGCATTTTAAGTCAAATTTAAATCTACAAATGAAAGTAAATGGACCAAATTGGGTTAAAAGTTGAATCTTTAAAAAATGTCCTCGGATTTCAGAATATCTCAGTATGTTGTGTGTCAGCCATTTACTCTAATGACAGCGAGCACTGGAGCTGGCAAAGACACGGAAATTCTGTGCGAAACCTTATGACCCGTGTTATCCCAGCATGATTTGAAAATGTTCCAAGGATGTGATGTCAGGGACTGCTTGGCTCTCTCGGTCACAAAGTGTCCACGTTAAGGTCTGACTGGGTTCAGGTCAGGTCAATTCATTTGTGGATAGGATTTTCTCCCCCAGTAATGAACAGTGAAATGTTGGTATTTCTTAGCCATCCTCAAGTGTTTGTCCTTGTTCTTCCTTCTGAGAGGAGGTTTAGAAACTGCAACTTTCCTCAGAGACTACAACAAGCGGCCGTCTTATACTGTGACCGAGTGTTTTCCATTCTTTATGTACTTTATTATTGATCTGTGATCATACTTTAGATATAAAAATCTAGTTTGCTGATAGTTCATATTCCGTCTTCTTCTTTAATTCTGCAATGATTTGTTGCTGAAAAAGCCCCTCTTTGGTTTGAATCCAAGTTCCAAATTAAGTGACTGATACAAGCTTCTGCTCATAGACCAAATCAACCTGCAGTGTCACCTAAAAGCATTCTTTCATAAAGAGGTTACAACTCTGAAAATCTGACCTTTGATTAAAAATGACTTGCATTGGTCAATGCCACAAATTTGTGTTATTTTAAATTCTGTCCAAGATGCAGAATGTTGACTGTAAATAAAATGTCTTCAGTGTTTTTCATGTTTCTATACGTTTTGGAATCTGCAAACTCCAGAACCCTGTGGTTATAATAAAAATATTAGACACATTTTTGGCAGTTTCTCAGTTAACTGCAGTGTAAATCTGATGAGAGGCTCATGCAGCCAGGAAGCAGCAAAGGTCAAAGAAGGAGGAGAATGGTGTTTCTGGATGAGCAATCAGCCACGTGGGGGAAAATGGATTTAACCGGATATTTCAGTTCAGTTTTTATTTTAATTCACTATAAAAAAAAAAAAACATAAACAAAAAAGACAGTAATACTTGACAGCATTAGTTAACCAAAGTGTAGTGTGGGTGGAAGAGAGCATACTGAAGGTGGGTGCAGGGCTTTGTTTCTTCTGTGCTCGGAAATTATTTTTTTCTGGGTACAGGAGGGGAAGGTCTGCAAAAGGTATTAGTTTCAATGAAGCAATTATTTCCTTTATGATCAATTTATTAATCAAAATAGTAGCCAAAGATAGAATCATTTAATTTATTTTTTCGTCTTTGATTTACAGTGAACATATGGGTTATTTAATATTGTATGAAGGTGGACCTAAAATATATTTACCCAATCCCTTTATAGACCTCAGTCTTGTTGAGCTAACCAGTGTAAAACACTACTCGTCTGAGGCTTGTTCAAGTTTTCCAAATTGTTGTCAAAATTATTAGATAAATATCATGTTTTTTCAAACAAATTGAAGGAGAATGTCAGGTTATTTTTTTTTAATCAACTGTAATGACCGTTCATTTCATAAGAGTGGTGATTTCAGATCATTTATACATTCATATTGTCTAACATTTAAGTCAAATTAAAAATATAACCTATCCAATTACAAGTAAGGGTCTTGCTCTTGTAATCAAATGTAGTTAATTTTAGGTATAAAAACTAAAAGAACCATCAGTTTTTTTTTTTTTTGCAGTAACATTTATAAACATAATTTAAAAGTTGCTTGGGAGGTGGACCTATTTTATACTGGTTTGTTAGGGCCTTGTAGCCTATAATGGGACAACTTGTTATGAAAACCTTAATCTGAGACCTACTAAGAAGAATATGGAAAATATATGAGAAGAGTGAAAACAAATGAAATATAATTAAATGTACTTAAAATCTGTAGAATGACCAGAACTTGAGGTGATGTGTAAACAAAGTCACTGGTAATTGCAGTAGGCCTACAAATTCAGCGATACCTCTTTAATTAAGCAACAGCTCGGGGTTGCTAAGGTTACGTTCAAGCCAACCAAACTAAGATGTTTGCATATCGATATTACTCATTACCAAGTTTTTAGTGGATGGGTTGTGTATGGAGAATACATTGAGGCAAACATGACTGCCCTCTAAAAATAAATATCAACCCATGTGCATTAGTTTATTTATTCCTACATACTTCTAAAAACACAATCATCTTGTTTAGTTAAGCAGCCATGGTCAGTGGCGTCTTCATCGTTACGTTTCGAGTGATGTCGAATAAGCAAGGGGTGCATTACTTCCCCCTGTCGACTCGGAGTATGAACTGAATTTCAGCAAAATGCCTTTAGAGAACACCTAACGAATCCCTTCTACCCTAAAGAAGTATGCATTAAAAAGGAGGTTGACCCCCCCAAAAGATCAATCTTAAATAAAGAATAGAGGTTATCACCAATTGCAGATGGGAAATTGATTTAAAAAAAAAAAAAATAAGCAAAGGAATAAAGCAATTTAATGACAAAACACTTCAAATGAAAAGGTTCAACTTCTAAAAAAAAGACATTATGTCCATATGGAACATTTACAAAACATTTGTTAAGCTTTCTAAATCTAGAAATAATTTCACCCCATGTGAAAGCAAGATTTTCTTTTTATTTAAAAACAAAATAGAAACCACATTACACCTTTTTAGAAGACTATTTTCTCTTTTGTACAGTGTTTTAGTGTTGAACAAGCTTCTTTTTTTTTTTTTCATAAGATGGCCTCATGTGAACAAACAATTTATAAAGACAGAGAAATTGATTCACTGGAGGTTTCATACCTTTTCTTATTCTTGGGAAAAGTATGATCCAAACATTTGTTTTATTTTTATAATTAAAACATATCGTCACTGCAGACCCATCTGTATCCATTTTTAAATTTGCTCACCCAATGCCAGAATACCTCCCAAATATTTTGCCGTGAATCTACACAACACACTCTGATAAACAGCTCACTAAAGGAGAAAATACATCCAATTAATTCAATTAAAAAAAAGTTATCCCTTAGTCAATGAAGGAATGTAGTGCTTGTTCAGCTTTTCTCACAGCTGGTAAAACCAGTACAAAGACAGACAGGGCACAAATAAAAAAAAAAAAGAACAGAATCACAGCTGTACAACTAGAAAACAGAAAAACTTGGATCGAGCTACAGGCTAGTTGTGAGTCCATCCTTAGATCATCTTTATTAGACCTATGCTTGTTATTAGCTTTTGTCTGTTGGACACATCTGGTCCCATTTTTCAAACAAAGTGTACAGTGAGTGTTTTGGCACTATATATGTGGCTTTCCTAACTGTAGTATGATATGTGCACTGATTTAAACAAGCCATTCAAGCAGTACTTGGGCTGTGTAAGATGTGCTGATAAACAAAAAATTGGCAAATTGGCAAATTGCAAACCATCATTACCCTTAAATACTGAGCGATATCTACAAAGTAGACAACTGTTGTTCTTATTTTAACAACACAACCTGACTTCTCCTTTCCTTCAGATAATTTTCTATAAAGTATCTTCACCCCATCATAGGGCATGCCACACCTGAGGTTCCATGATCTCTTTCTACTGATTTATAATCTGCATCGAAGCTTCCAAGATTTTTCATCCTTTTCTTTTTGATCCCATGATCTGTTCCATATCAGCCCTGACAGCAGAACTGTGGCCACACAACATATCAGTCAACACTAACCTCTGAAATAAAAACACTGAAAGGACAAAAGGAGACACACTCCTTCTCACAGGCTACTGCGGCAGCTACTGTCTACACCACCTTTGTCGTTTGGATATCAGTAGACTAGATGCATATTTCTATTCTGTGGAACTTCATTTTGTGTTTATGTCCTCTGTGGACACAACACTTTATATATCTGCTATTCCTGTCCATGCACTATTCTATTCTGCTTCTTTAACTGGCTAACAGTCAAAGGTATAACTGTAAATCTCTGCTCCCTGGTGGCAGCTGAGACAGACTATAAAAATAACTATCATATAGTTAAATATTCTTCCTGATGCCTTTGTATTCATTTCAGTCTTGTTTCAGTCCCAAAAACAAACTCCTCGTTGCACGTTTAAATATTAAACCACAGCTTGCGTCTCAATTTGATTCCAATGTTTTTTTTTTTTTTAAATCCAGCTGTGTGCAGGTCCTTGAAGTGTTATTTTTGGTAACTCTATAAAGTCAGTGCTGCACAGATTTGGTTAATCTGCTCTTTTTTTTTTTTTAGATCGTCTTTTAACACAATCTTACACAGAAGCAGATGTTTCTTTAATCTGAATTATGTGCATAGCTCATATGTCTCCTTTATTATTATATACAAAGTAATGGAGTAGATGTTGATAGGATTCAAAAGAGTGTGATACTTTCCTTTTGAACTGACTAATAGAAAGATAATACTGATGAGTGCGAGAGGTGAAAATAAGAGCTGTAGACCTATTGAAATCAGGGAGTGTTGACAGTTATGTTAGATAGCACCGCACTGCCCCTACTGGAGGATGAGAATGGAAGGAAACCCCGTTGTACACATCACTCTCGGGCCTGGCCTTCACTTCTTCTTCAGTCAGTAAGGAGTCCATTAGATCCGCTGTGTGTTCCTACAGGGTGTTATTCTCCGGGGAGAAGAGCGCTTCCAGGCCCCCTGCTTCAGTGTCTGTTACATCCTTTTCTTGCTTCGGCTTTTTAAAGAGCGATGGAAGGTTCCGGATATGAACCTCCTTCCTGAACTGCTGGCACAGAGCTTTCTGTTGAGAGAGGAGAGGTTATGTGGAGCCAATCGAAGATGTAGCAGAATGAGTTTCATTAGATTGTACGGCCCTGTAGAGCTGCAGCAACGTTTGTTTTCTGCAGAGCGCAGAAGATTTACAGCACGGCCAGAATCACACTGCTGAGTAATGACTTGCATTACTGGGCCGGAGCCTCTCTACAGCAGCCAACAGCAAGATGCAGTAGATACGTGCTGCTCTCTAGTGGCTAAATGTGGCATTACCACAATCAGGATCAGCTTTATTGGCCATGTATGCTTACACAAACACAAGGAATTTGTCTTCAGCACCTGAGCTCTCAATGTACAAAAAGTAACACATTAAATATAAACGTAATATATGCAAAAAAACTAATATATACTAATATATACACAAGGCTTAATACTATAATAGTGCAGTGGTGAGTAGTGCAATGCAGTGATGAGTATTTACCCCAACAGTTCCTGCGATGAGCTTCTTGAAGTGGTCTTTCCTCTTCTTGGGTCCGACCTTCTGGGCATTGGGATCCATGAGCCTGTGATCGTACAGGTCCAGAGCCTCCACGCTGATGTTCGGGATCTGGGCCATCACCGCTCTCAGCTCCGTGTAGCGAGGCCGCTAATATACACAGACAGGCAGATGAATGCACAAGTAAGGATTTAAAAAGAGATGCATTCTGAGAAATCACCTTCAAATGACAGAAATAAGACACCAGATTTGAATAAATTTTAAAAACAAAATGTGAAACAAATGTGCCAACTTACAAAGGAACTACTTGAATAATCAATACATTTGGAATAATAATAATAATAATAATAATAACAACACTCACTGGTTCAAGCTTTTTTAAATTGGAGGACTTGATACTTTTACCTCATATGATAATAAAATATACATGTTTGGTGTTTGTGACTGTACTTTGTATGAAACAGTTGCTCAAGATTTCATATTTAGAATGATGACAATAAAAGTAGTCCTACATGATGTAATAAAGAGTAAAAAAAAAAAAACAAAGGAAGTAATCAAGCGCTCAGAAGTGATTGGCATTAGACTCACCAGGTTGTCATAGATGAGCATAGCCAGCTGACACAGAGTCAAGTTGCAGACCTCGTGCTGCCCGTGAACCTGAAGGGCTCGAAGGACACTGGTGTAGAACCACGTGACCGCCTCTGGAAGAAGATTGCCTCCTACGACCTGAAGAGACAGAAGATATATATATATAAAATGGTGTTGGTGCGCATGTCGTCCTACATGTGGCGATGAGGAAACAGTTTACACGACATATAATGCAGAAAACTTTCCTTGGGATAATTAAAAACTGGTGTCACATGGTTAATCCAGCTGAGAGCACTCTGCAGAATACTGCAGAAAGGTAACATCTGAGCACTGGTATTTGCTTAAAAAAAAAGGTACAGTACGCAACATTTTAAATATGAATTTAGTAGATACCAAATATATTCTGACAAAGCTAGAAAATGCCCAGTGTTATCCTTTATTCAATAAAACGAATTAAATTTAAAAACACGTGTAACATTGTGGGGTCTACCTGTTGCAGGAGGGTCCAGCAGATGATGGATGCAGTGCGGCGACAGTTTGTGGTGTCTTTCCAGGACAGTGAGGTGAAGGACAGGGTCAACAGATTCATGTAGATATTCTAATTAGGAAAAAAGGAGGAACTTTAATAACACAGACTTTGGTTTCATTTGAAAAAAAGGTTACGTGATGTGTCTTAGGTCGACCTCGTGTTTCATCAGGCACTTCCCCAGCTCCGTCAGCTCCTCCGTGTGCTGAGCGGGAGACGCCGTCTGCACTTGATCCATCATCATGTCTTCATCTATCAGAGCACATTTCAAGACACATGACGAGACACGTATCAGAATAAAAAAACAAAAGTAACAGACTACATTTTGGTTTTAAAATTGTACTCTTACCATCTACTTCCTCCTTATTAGCAGCTTGTTCAGGTACCTTCCTTGAAATACAGCTTACACCTAGAAGAGAGGGGAGGAGTTGAGTATTACATCCACATAAATACGAGGCAAGGCAAGAGGTCAAAAAGCTCCAGCAACACTTGTAGCATGAAGAGCAATTTTATTGACTTTATTAAGACGAATGCATTTTAGCTAGTGGCCTTAATCAGGGTCATAAAAGGTCACCCTTTAACAATATTCTGCAGATGACCCTGATGATCAAGCCAAAACGTGTCGGTCTTTAATAAAAATGTAGCTTCATACTGCAAGTGTTGCTGGAGCTGTTTGACCACAGCAACAAGGCAATTCAACGTGCTTCACACAAGACATCAAAAGGCATCACGGCAAAGGGAAAACGAGACATTAATTCACACTACTAAAGTTCCCGGTTTATATCCAGTCTGAGAGTAAAAGCTGATCAAGCAGTTATGTTCTATATCCTGAAGATACAAAGCACCATACATTTAGGCATTTACGTCTTCATATGTAATGTCAGATCTATCCATATTACTCAGCAACAGTGTCATCAATGTGTTGACTCTCAGCTCTATGTAGGAACTATAGCTGATGGACACTCATTCAGCAACAGTTCTGATTCCCTGTAGCTGCACAAAAATCATACTTCTGTAAAAAAAAAAAAATCCCAGGTATCATTAATTTAATAAAGAAGAAGCGTATTTTGTATTGTCATTATTATTGTTCTAAAATACTTAAAACTCCTGTGAGTAGTCTTTAGTTTGTTATGAAACAGTCTGATACTAATACTGATGTCCCTTCATAACCTACTAAATCAAACCAGACTATAAGCATGAAGATTGATTATTTCTCTATACTTATTGTCAGAGTAACTGCATGCTGAATCTCAATGAGTGATATGTTTGACTTTTAAGAAAAGGGAGATTTTTTTTGTTAAAAAAACACTACTTACACATGTACGAGATGAGATTAGCCAAAAAAAAAAAAAAAATCAGATGTACCACAGGAGGCACCAAAACTGGTACAAACTTCACAGGAGATTAAAACCAATAACTGCACAGTGACTGGCTTGTGCAACTACATTGCTCACTGACAAACGCCTTACTCAGTTTATTCTGTTCATACCAACATATGAGGTGATCGTTAAAAAGGTAAAGTACCATTCAGCATTTACCTAAAGTTTGACCATACAAGTATCACTAGATTTAAATCACTTATATGTCATTACAAAGAAACGCCTCTTCGCTAACGAAATGAAAATCGGAGCAGTTTAAGAAACGTACCGAGTAGATCCAGCACCTCCCTGGTGAGCAGGCGCACCAGCTGCTCCTCCAACATCTCCTCCGTCACCTGGCTGTCATGACACAAAACCTCCTCCTCCTCCTCCTCACCACTAAAATAAACAAACAAATGGGATAACTATGACAGAAAGGAACTGAACATGTAGTGTGTTAGGATAAGCACATTAAAGCCTTCTATTAAAGAGCTCTTAGCTTTTACCCACTGCGTAGAGATTTATAGCATGTTAGTCTAATCGAGGTTTTAGATTAATGTCTGGTTCTTCTTGAGCTTCACATAAAAATGTAGCTATAATGTGTACTGGGATTTAATAAGGACATTCTCGTTTAACTTGAGTGCTCATAAGTGTTCCGGTAATGTTTCACAACAGCCTCCATGGTAATCAATGAAAGTTATCTTTTAGGACATAAGTGTACCACCTGTTGTAAATCCACAGATTTCCCAGCCTCTGAAACTTCACTGTCATAAATAACATGCACTCACTGATCCAATCAAATATCCCCAAATCCTCAAACGCCTTCACTCCACCTACTTGTTTGAGGTCCTCTGGTTGATGACCTGCCATTTGCTGTTGAGTCTCTGCATTTGGAAACATAAGGAGGGCTGTGAGTCTTGGCAACGAAAACAACTGTAACAGAGTGAGTAATGTGTGTGACAATCAGGATTTTTTTTGGGGGGGGGTGTTTAACCTGCAGCATGTAGGCGAACAAAGGGCCCAGGAGGGGGCAGAGTAGACTGTTGTAGTGCTCCTGGGGACATGACAGCACCAGCTGCCTCAGAAACACACGTACCATAAGTTAAAGAAAAATGGATGTTAACATAAAGCAGCAGCTTGGTTTTATTAGTGGAGAGAAGGATCCGTCTAAATGTGTGCAAGAAAAGGATATTGTGCATAATGGTAACAAATAAAGGATATGAATCATTGGGCGCAGTCTGTAGTCAGGAACATGATCCAGGGAAGAAAAAGCAGAGCCAGTTATTTCTTCAGCCAACTTCTCGATGGTGTAGAAGTCCTGCTGCAGGGACGGACCTGCATTACCCAGGACGTGGAAGCTACAGTGTTAAAGAGAGCAGAAGAGTCGGTTGAAAATATTTTGCAACAAAGCGCGAGGTATAAACTCTTTAAAAAAAAAAAAACGTTTTGGGGGAAATGAACAATAATCCTACCAGTTGTCATACAGTGTGACGACAAACCCCTGCATGCGCTCTAGGCTGGTTCTGTACACAGGAGAATCATAAATATCCAGGAGAGGCTGAGAGAGACCTGCAAGAAAGCACATTGGTGAAGCTTTTACTACAGGGTTTTAAGAGGATGTCAGACTGCAGCTTAAGAAGCGGAATGGAAAGCTCCTCTTACCGAGAACAACATTTTTCTCTGCATCCATCACCTCGTGGGCCCTGGAGAAGGTTTCACTCAGACGAGCCATGTTCTCCGGCAGGAAGAGACTGTTGTGAGTCCTGAAGTGAGGAGAAAATATAAAAGACACTGGTCACAGGTCAGTGTAAGAGCAGAAATGATTAACAGAATATCATTTTCACTGTAGAGCAAGAACTGATTCTAGTGGGTGGGTCGAGAATTAAAAAGTTCCCATGAATTTAATTGAAAAAAAAATATTGAGACAATGTTTGATGGATGACCGATGGATGTGTGCCACCTAGAAATCAAGGTCAGAACACAGACTTTGTATTAGAAGTGGACTATGTTGGGGCGTTGGATTGACTATGTTGGTAGAGCAGGTGCCCCATGTCCAGAGGGTAGAGTCATCGTCGCACTAGTCGCAGGTTTGACTCCCGATCCTGATATTATTTAGTGCATGTAAACCCCCCCCCCCGCGCTCTTTCCCCACATCTCCTCTCTTCTCAGAGGTCCAATCTAATGAAGGCAAAAAAGCTTTTTTACTCTCAATGGGACAATGATTAATGAACATCAACCTGTTTTGAAGCCAACTTCAAACTACAGATTGAGACCCTAAACTCCATCAAGTGGAGTCTCCCCCTGCTGGCAATAATACAGATTACATGTTTAAGGCATTTGGGCATTGGCTTCACTTACTGCCTTAGATTCAGCTGTTGTGTCACTGAGGTCTTGATTAATAATGTGTTTGTTCTCATTAACACTGATCCTATATCATGGAGTAATATGAAGATGCTCCTCTCATGTTTTATGAGGGATTTTGATTTAAAAAGGAGGATTTCTGAGCACAGTGTTAGCGTAGGGCGTACCTCATTAGAGCCAGCAGGTTGGGCAGCAGGATCAGGAACTGGTCAGTACAGGGGTTTCTGTAGATGGGAGCTCCGGTCGGGGTGTAGCCCACAACAAAGCCACCAGCCTTGGCTTCTTCCACGTCTGCAGGCCAGCGTGACTTCTTCACCACGGCCAACATGGCATACAGGCAGAAGCTTATCTAGAGGAATGTCAAAAGAGAATTGTTGGAACTTTAATGAAACACTTTCAGAGCTCCTTTAAGTTGTTTGAACATTTCTGCCTTAGTTAGAACCCAGAGTTCACAGGTACACACTTACCCGCCCTCTATTTAGGCCTGCTGGGTCTGGATCTGTACTTAGATCAGGGACCACTTGATCAGCTCCAATAAAGGACAGGAACATGGCAGGGTCCCACAGCACACTGAAACAAAACGAGAAAATAACAGTCAAGCCTCCATCATAACACTCATTCAAATATAAAAAATAATGAATTCAAAACGCACCGCTTCATCTCATCTGAGGTCCAGTCTGCGACCACCGAGGCCATCAGCTCATCTAGAAAAGCCTTCTGCTTTGCAAAGTCTTTGAACTGGTTACTGATGTGCACCAGGGCTTCCATCAGCGAACACTTCTCCAAGTGAGTCATCCCCGAGTCACCGGAGAACATTTTCTTCACGTGATTGTAAAACATCTCAAAACAAGGCTGGAGGGGACAAAAGAAGAAATGTTTTACTCATTCTACTGTTCAATAGTTTGTACACTTCCTGTGCTGAAAAGGCTCGATCCTTCCAGGTTCATTTTACTCTCATCACTGATATTTACCAAGATGATGTGAGGGTAATCCCGGCACATTTTGATGATGAGAACACGCATGCCTCCTCACGTTCTTCACAGCTCGGGTCCGTGGTACCTGAAGATGTCAGGTGGAGAAAAAAAAAAGTTTTGATCTTGGACATGAAAGACGAGTCAGAGTGTAAATGTATGGTCCTGTGTGGACAATTTACCTTATTGTCTTGGCCGATCTCAAATGTGATGGCTTTAAACAGCTGAGGGGACAAGAGAATAACACCGAGTGTTGATGTAAATGAAAACACAAGACACTAAATCACACTTTCTTAACATGGAAAAACTATTTTCAACCTAAAAAAGTACTTCAAACATTTCTCAGACACTCTTCCATTATGATCCGAACATATTTCAAACTTAAAAATCTCCCACGAGTCCACAACAAACCCACTCATCACAGCTTACCAATGTGAAAACACTTAAATAAATCATGTAAGGCTTTCTGGAAAGCCTAAAGGTGAAGTATATAAAAAGAAGAAAACATGCATGGTAGATGTACATCAATAATATCCAGCAGCCAGAGATCAATCAGCTGACCTTGTAGAGGACCTGTGGCAAGAACTGAGGCCTTCTTGTGACAAATGGGAAGAGCGCTGAGATGTTAGAGAGCACACAGGAGAAGATGAGCGGGTCTTTGGTGTCGTAGTTCAGCACAGCCTGCAGCAGCTCCATGCCCTGATCGATGGGCAGCTTCTACACAACCACAGCAAGAAAAAGAAAGAGAAATGGGAAGTGGTCATCGTATCTTAGAATCAACCTCTTTTTTTTTTTTGTAAACCGTTTTACTTCAAAAGATGTTCCTGTTACCTCCTCCTCCATGTTTCTGAAGATCTGTGTGACCATACACTCCATGAAGACAGTCATTGCATCCCACTGAACCACCGATGGAGACAGGAGGGAGCACAAGCCCTCAGCTGACTTAGCTGGGGAAACACAGAGAGTGAGAGTAAAATGAGGCCTTTGAAACGTCAGAAAAGTTCAAAAATGTATTTTCCTTATGCACGTTTATCTTTAGGCCTGAAGCAGTATGAGTCTCAATTGGTTATATTGATTTAGAAGAGCAAGACCCAGAGCCCACCTGAGTCGTTCACCTGAATAAGTTCCATACTGCTGCAAAGTTGTTCATATTTAATGAATCAAATGCACCATAAATGCATAGAAAAAAACAAAGGGGAATCATCTCCAAGCTCTGAAGAGTAATCAATCCTCCTCTGTGATAGCATTTTAAGAATACAGAAAAGCACTTACATGTGGTATCCCCAGTGTCAATAGGGCTGGTGATTTGATACTGCAACCATTCTGCTGCAATCTGGAAAGCCTCCAGAGGAACAATGCGACACGCACTCCTCACCACCTCTCCCTGCTGGGCTCGAAAAGCTGACGCGCAAGAACATAAAGAATGAAAAACATTAAGGGACGAAATGAATGTTGCTCATCTACAGGGAATTATAAGCCAGAGCTTTAAAAAAAAAAAACGTACAATTAAAGAACGAATTGAAGTCTTCATCGCTGTCAAAGTCCACACGGGAATACACGCAGCTCGGGTTATCGTCTCTTGACGGAAAACCAGCCTGAGGGAAAGAAAGAAAACCTTAAGTACCACCAGATTTCAGATTCCTTTATAATGGTTGTACTTGCATCACTAGCTCACCTTGACCAGGTTGGTCACAGAGGCTCTGAGGTATTTGATCGCCATCTCCATAACAACCGCGTCCTTAGACAGAGTCTCATGTCTAAACAGAGCTGCCCAAGTGGCCAGAGTGGAGGACTTCAAGAACTGCACAAAAAGAGGGAGGAAAAACATGAACTCAACAAAACTGAATCATTCTGAAAACTTCAGAAGTAGTCATTGAAACATTTTACATTTGAGGTCCAGCAAAAATGTTTTTGTCCTCTCACCTGACTGGAATGTTTGGTAAAGGCTAACAGTGCCTCCAGGTATTTGCTCAGATTAGCAGGCGCCTCCACCTCCACATCTGAACCCTGTGGGAGGAGAACATACGATTTCTCACTGATCAAATAAATCTCATCAAATCAATTACCGTACGTGTGCGCCATGGTAACTAACACATGACCAAGTGAAAGCAGGAGTTCATTTAAGAGTGACAAACTCACCACTAATGAGCAGAGCTGGCCTCCCAGAGCACACAGGACCTGACATAGCCTCTTCAAGAAGTTATAACTCCGCTCCACCACCTCCACAGCTCTAACAGGGTCAAAGGTCAGAGAACTGGAAGTCACAGCTTGTTTTATTAGCATTTTAAACATGCTTTTAAAGATCTGTATTTTACTGTTGCGTAGAACAACTGAGGCAATCTGAAAAAGGCTACCGACAAGAAAACAGAGGCAGAGTACATCTGGATAGAGAAGCATGAAGACCTACAGAACAAGATTTCAATTGTGCTTAATATGGAAATTAAACATGCCTGTAGAAATCTTCTTTTAACAATATTAATCCTCCCCTCTTTTTACTTTTGAAGTTTCTATGTAAAAGTTATATTGTCCATGTAGGGCTAAGAGTGTATGTGTGTTTCCACAAACGCACAAAACTCCTGAAAATAAGTTTTAGAGGTGAGCCGATGTGTGAACACGGCCAGCAAAAATGTAGCTAAGTTCCCCGTGATTAAGCATTCAGGGTGACGATGTTTGCGTCATGCACGTATTGATGCTGCTTCATACTCTTTTTCTGCTTGCAAGTATGTTTTTTGTTTCCTGTTGGTGATTGATACTGTGAATATGTCCAATTACACATCAAATTAACATAAAAGATCAAAAGAACTGTCATTATAGAAACCTGATGAAGCCATGCAGGCGTAACACATTGTCTGTTTGAGTATGTAGTTAAATAAAAAGAAGAGGGTTCATTCAGCTCTCCTGTGAGCGGTGAATCTTCTCATTTGCTGTCAAGTTTATGTTTCCTGCCTTCACCTGCACCAAGCTACAGTATAAGGACTGAGTGCCGTTCAGGGCATCTACTTTTGTATGACTTTACTGTCATTATAGTGTTGGACTCTGTCGCTTCGTCTGCAGTGTCTTTTTTCATGTCATGGCTTGCCTCCTGTGACAATTTAGAAATGTTAAGGAGTGCAAACTTGTGTCGATAAGGAGTTTAATGTTAGAGAATGTCTCCTCTTGTACTCTCTGTTTCTTTAAGCAGCCTTTGGGACCTTCTGGTTTTTTATCATTTTTTTTGCAAAGGCATTGAGAAAACGTTATCTAAGACTCACTGTGGTTCAGGGGATTTCTTACATATTGCCAGTCCATCTGCTGACCTGCAACCATACAGACAAGAAACCATTCACTTACAGGGACAATGACGCTTTGAGGAGTGTTGAGATGGATGATGAAGGGATACAGTAGTACTCACTGTGCTGCAGAAAGGATGTAGTGGATGGCCACATCATCATACAGCAGCATAAACGGCTTTCTATCCTCCAGCTTGCCCTGCAGAAACAGCACAGTTGATTAAAAATGGCTTACTAACGCTCCTTTCTTTCATGCATATCCACTAACTTTCCAGGCTACTGACCATACTGCAGCATGACTCACCTAACCCACAGTTCTGCAACTATAGATTTAAAAAAAAAAAGTCACACAGAGGGACTATACCTGCTGCACAAACCTCTACGTGAGTATTTTTGAGTAAAGCCACCTGGATGAGCATTAAGCACACACAGAGAGACAGTTAACATTGATTGGCTGATTTGAACCAGGAGCCTCGTTGCAGTGAGGCGACAGCGCTAACCACGACACCACCATGCAGCATGTTACCTCAATGTTGTAAAATGTTATAACCCATTCAAGATTCAAGGTCACTCATGTCACATAAGTAAAATCTACAGGAATGCATATCATAAAAAAAAAACATGCAATCCGTTTGTCCTTCCCTGAGTCTGTCATTGTATCAACTTTCATCAAGAAAAATAAAATTCAAAAAGTCTTAATGAAATGAAAAAATAAAAACTGTCCATGAATACAGAGAAAGGGAACCTTTACAGTTCAGGAGTAAGTAAGTAAGAGCTATAAGTCTGTGTCATAAACAGTAGTCATATGGTAGCAAGATGTATCTTGACAGGACAGTGGATAGAGTAAGAAATAAAGATGAGAGAGTGTATGACATGCAGGAAAGGAGCCACAGGTCGGACTCAAACCTGCTTGGAGCACTAAAGCTTCCACGCATCGGGCGCAACCTATCCGCTAGGCCAACCACCGGCCCCACATGGTAGTGTTGAGTATGCACAAATTCTTCCCATGACCATGGCCTAATTTTGCAATTAAAATGTATTCAAAACTGGTGAAAGGTTTTTTTGAGATACCATGAAGTTGTAAAGTTTGAGAGTGTAATCTTTTACAGATATCAGAGTGAGCTTTATGGCTTAACCACAGCCTTTAAGCTCTTTTTTTCCTCCCTGCTACTTACCTTCCTGCTGATAGCGATGAGCAGACACTCAGCTGCCTCCAGCTGCAGCTCTGGTTCACTCAGCAGCAAACACAACATCTCCAGCAGATGACAGTTTCCATAGGTGATGTGCACCAGAGACACCCAGTCTATGTAGCCTGCAAGTGTATTCAGGGTGGCCACAGCGACTCGGCAGTGGGCTCTGGCCTGGGAGTGGAAAAAAATATATATATCAGAAGCTATTAAAAGGAATAAAAGTCTGAAAGCGGTTGAGCTATGCAATGTTAGCTCACCTTCAGTTCATGCCCAGGCAGCCCTTTCTGCATTAGAAAAACACAAATCAGACCATTTTACAGCCATTTCCCATGGCACATGTATTCCCTAAGAATATGCATGATTTCTCAGAAGACACATTTAAAAAAAAAAAAAAAAAAACATGATAATACTAAGAAATGACTTTTATTTTTTTATAGCAAAGAGAGAAATCCTCACTGACCAGTTTGCGGTAGTCTTCCACATTAACTTGCAGAATGGCCATCATGAACCTGAACATGCTTTCCATGTTTTGCGTGAGGGTCTGCTGGATGTCTCTGCGTCGCTGGGTGGGCAGCGTCTGGAAGGTGATCACGTCCTCTGCCAGCCTCAACAGGATCAACATCACCAGCTCTGTCTGAGCTTCCTATAAACAGCACATTAAAAAGAACATTAAAAAGGATTTCTGTTGAGAATTAACTTTGAAAGTGGCAAAGGTGACACGACGACACAAAAATTGACTTATCCTGGACTGGTGCTCATTTGCATGCTTGGTATTACATAATAAAAACTTCAAATGGCAGGGCGGATGGAAAATGTCACAACTGATATGCAGTAACAGACTATTTCCTGTTTTATATAAGTTACTCACCCCTTGGCTAGTGAGAGCCTCCATTTCTTTCAGCATATCTGGCCAGTGCTGCGGCCATTCTCTCTTTATCATTTCCACTATGATACGTGACAGGACATCTTTAATGTGGCTCACCTCCTCCAGGATAGAATGAGTGCCCTGATAAAGAAAAAAAAACAAAAACAAGACATTAAAAGTGTCTCTTATGACAACAATACAAGCTTTAGGCGTCATTCAAACCGTAAGAGAGATTGTTATGCCATTGAAAGTGTTTAAATCACTTACATTTGCTAACAGCTGCATGGCACACTCCTTTAACTGGACTTTCTCTTGTTGCGGCATGTCGTTCCATCTGAACCTGTAACAACAACAACAACAACAACAAACACTCTTTTTTTAGTATGCAGCTTTTACCTTATAATGTCTTCATGATCATTTTTGTCACACTCACTTGATGACGTGCTCCAGGATTTGCAAACCAAAGTGTCTCACTACAGCTGGCTGTGCTTTGTCGGCTAGTCGTAAGCCACATGTGACGCAGTAGGAGCTTGTCTCTTTAAATTCTTCGCAGAACTGAGGAGGGAAAAAAAACAAAACAAAGCGGACAATATAAACTACAAGTATAGGAGGGTTGGAAGTTACACTCACATGTGCTTAACCATGCCGTTCATGTGGGATGGCTCAATGTGGGATGCCATTATACTTTAAATACTTTAAAAGCGTAAAGTGAATAGACGATCTAGGTGCCATGCTGCAAATAAAATCACTTCAATTGGCTTTTAAGTCGAGTTCTGTTTCTCAGCATCAATAGCAAACCAGATACAACAGATGTTAGCATTCCCCCTGAATGAATGAACAGTGGCTGAGGTGATGAGGGGATAACCACAGGTTAGCTCACAAGCATCTTGCCATCATCATTGCACATGTTGCCAACCTTACTGAACGTAAACATCCTGCAGTAACAAAGCTATTCCTGCAACAAAAAAAACCTCTGCTTAAAACTGACTTTATATTCAGTTCACTTCCAACATCAGCTCTAATGAATGACCACCTAAGTTAGCTGGCAGCTAGCTAGCAACCCATAACGATGCTACCTTTAGGGCCTCCAGTCGGTAAATCTGGCTCGTTTCTGCGTCCATCATCGCGTTCACAGCTTTGACAAGCTGCTCACACGTGGCAGCCACCGGGTCAGCCATGACTTCAGGTACCGTCTGACACGAAAGGCGAAAGGAAGGGGCTCCCTTATGCAAAACACCTGCACTACAGTGTGTTACAAATGCTCAAGGAGGTACCAACGTGCACAAAGTGTGCAGCTTGCGCGTTTGAACCCTTCGGCTCGCCGTAGGAAGGGAATTCTGGGAGTTGAAGTTGAGGCGATATTTTTTTTTTTTTTTTTTTTAAACGATCGTCTACAGTCTGAAAGAGTTCTCACTTCTGACATAACTTTAAGGTTTATCGAATACATTTTTTTTTTAAAGATAACGACTCAGCGTAAAACACATTATTTCATAATTTTCTTACTCGAAATACCTTTAAAGTTATACATGTTTACAGTTTTAATTGTTTTCCCTCTTACACGTTTCATTTTTTTTATTTTTCACAACAATGTATAGGCTTACCATCGCCTCACCTAGCAGCGTATCATTTGTTTCAGGATTAGTTTCTATATCTCACCTGCATGCAAAAACAGTTTCATAATTTCAAGTCAGTCTGTAGGCAATATCATGACTATCCCATGTGGCTTTACAAACAAACATTTGTATTGACTCACAAGAGTAACAAAAACATGAAAACGGACGACAGAAAACTGAAGTTTCAAACTTATTTTGATTCAATTTGAAATTGTTTAGTATTGAACCACCAGAGCATTACATCAAGTGGGCTTGTGACTTTTGTATTATGATGTCATTGGGGAAAAAATGCACACCTATCCCTTTACATTTCAGAAATAAGGAATCATAATTACCTACAATTTTTTTTAGTCCTCGTGTTCTTTAACCTCCTACGACCTGGCGTCCACATATGTGGACATCACATTTTGGGTTGTCTAGACCACAATATTAAATTTTGCTCTACAAGGGCCTGGGGTCCACATACGAGGACTTTATACTGCCACTTAGTGGTGTCAGAAGAGTATAACACATTATACATCAGATTCAAGATGGCCGACAACACACCCAGAAGTTCAGATGGCAACTCCCGATCCAAACTTCGACCAGGTAAAAATTCAATCAAATTTTATGGCTGATTCTTGTTCAGATATGTATAAAAGTGTTCAATGTTTGTTATGGAATGAAAATTTTACAAAAGTTAGTAACTGTAACGATTTACCATGCCGCTAAACATGATGTCCACGTATGTGGACAGAGGGACTTAGTTTTGTTAGTTTTGTTGAAAATGTTTATATGTGATCATAAATGCTAGCAACAAAACATGAGAATGAAATAGTATTTTGGGATGATTTTGGTAGAAAACAATAGTTTACTACAGTACAAGCAGATGTAGCATGTTTTATAAATAAATTACCAAGATTTTTATTTGATTTTTCTCATGAAATTTTTTTCCAGAGCGTTATTCTCTGTCAAGAGTAATGGAGTTATTGGGGTTAATTGGTGGAGACAACTCAGAGGTGGAAGATTTGTCAGACATCGATGATCCCATAGGGGATGTTGAATATCAACCCCCACGACAGGAGCCAAGCACCAGTGAGGAGGACAGTAGTGGATGTGAGGACCCCATTCCGGAAGGAAATTTAAATTCTGGAAGGTGAGGCCTTTTCTGAATCGCATTCTGAAAGGCTGCAAATCTCAGGCTCGACCAGAATGCGTTTCCATTGATGAGCAGATGATTCCTTTCACAGGAGCTTGTCCGTGTCGACAATATCTGCCAATGAAACCAAACCCAGTTGGCATGAAAAACTTTGTTTGCGCAACAGCAGATGGTATTGTGCTGGACTTTGACATTTATCAAGGTAGAGATGCACTCCTTGAGCAGGTTGAAGAACCAGGGGATCTGGGTTTGGGAGGCTTGGTGATAGATCGCCTGTCTCAAACTCTGCAGCCTAATACAAATGTTTACTGTGACCGGTTCTTCACATCCATCCAATGTGTGGAACGCATGATGAAGAAGCAGATGTATGTAACTGGTACAGTTATGAAGAATCGGGTCGCTGCAGCAGTGCAGAAGCTACCAACTGACAAAACAATGAAAAAAAACGGAAGAGGTACCTCAGCACAAGTTACCACTGAGGATGGAAAGATTTGCGTGGTGAAGTGGTATGACAATAAACCGGTATTGATGATGTCTGCTGTTCATGCTAGAGAGCCAGAAGACACCTGCCAGAGATGGGACAAAAAACTGAAACGATATGTGACCATCTTGCGACCAAGTATTATCCGTGAATACAACTCCAAGATGGGTGGAGTTGACCTTGTCGATAGAATGATGAGTTACTATCGCATGAGTGGCCGTACAAAGAAATGGACACTGCGGATGCTAATGCACTTTACGGATCTGGCTTTAGCCAACAGCTGGCTACTGTACCGCAAAGAAGCTCACTGTATGTGGCACACCAAAGAAGAACATCATGCAGTTCCTTGAATTTCGTATGGAATTGGCCATGACCTTCTTGGCTCAGCGTGACAATGACAACTCTGACTTTTCAGAGCGGGAAGATGACCCAGACGTTTTGGTCCAAGGGAAAAGGCGTCCAGTGAAGGCAGTGCCCCATGTCTCAGTCCGCAGGAGGGCTAATGCACATCTGCCAGAGGCGGTAAATGTGAAGAATGCAGCGCGCTGCAGAGCAAAAGGCTGCTCAGGGAAAACTCGAGTGCATTGTGTTACATGCAAGGTGTTCCTCTGCTTACAGGCAGATCGCAACTGTTACATAGCCTTTCACACATAGGTGCAAACATGTTCCCACGGGGAAAAAAAAGTTTGAAGTAGCAGTTTTGGAGTGTAAGTGAAATGTTTCATGTTTCATGCCATGTTGAGATATTGAAATGAACAGTTTAGAACAGTTTCAATGCAAAATGTTTAGAATGTTACTTTGTTACAGACATACGTCTTCCTGCAACTGTTAGCAGCACTTCAAATGAGCCATATTGCTCAGAGGGGCACAATTGTTGTTTCTCATTTTGTTTTTGCACTCAGGAAAAATGCTGCTGTGTTCAGGCACCAAATAAAGAGTTGTGCATATCATTACTCAATTCTGACTTTATTGTGTTCTATCGAAATTTAAAACGAATGTCCTCATATGTGGACATCATTTTTCTCAGAAACTACATCATGTAAAAAGATAATTCTTTGTTTTTACACTCATCAGGTCCCAATCAGCCCAATTAGCAAAGAGAAATTAAAAATGCATGCCATGCAAGAGTTCGGGTCTTAGGAGGTTAAGTATTTTTATTTTACTTACTTTTACTTCTATATCTACCTTTTGGAGGATAATATTATACATAGCCTACTTTATCTGAACTATAAAGCCAAATTAAGTGGATGGCAACTTGTAGATTGATTTGTAACAAGATGTTTTTTTTAATAAGCTACTAAGTAGTAGCCATAGTTTAAATAGCTTCACTTTTACCTGCTGCAATGTATAGTTTTCAGAAAATCCTGAAGCACACTAAACCGTTTATTAATTAGGAGTCGGCCTACTTTTACTTTTGTAAGGCTATTTAAAGTGTACCTTGATGCCAGCAGTTAATTACTTCTATTGGGCAAGATTCCAGCAGGAGGATAAATTGTCAGCTGAGACTACAATCTGAAAGCTTTCCTCATTGTACAACCAGACCCTGAAAATAATGGACAAAAAACATGTCCGGTGGCATCACTGCCACATACTGAAAAATACAACCTATTAGTTTCAAGAGCTTTATGCATTTATGTTTTCTCAAAGTACTATACTTGAAATTTATCAACAATCTCACTCCTAACCCTCTAACCAAATATGTTCAAAGACAGGACAGTATCACTAGAAGCATGGTGAATGGAAACTGCAAGTCAAATTAGTAGATCTACATTTGGATAATCAGCCTGGCTTATGCCCTCTTTGCACAACATAAGTTTAATGCTTTGTATTGAAACTATGTTGAATTGCATCACCTTATTAATTAAATACATTCAAAAAGAGATCATTCTCATCACCTCTCACTATATATAGTGAGAGGTGATGAGAATGAGATATATATATATATATATATATATATATATATATATATATATATATAGTGGCAGGAAGGGGAAGGCACAGGTAGGGGGAGCACATACAGTTCTCACCAGACTGCCATTCATTGTTCAGACAAGCAACAGGTATTCTACTGGCTACATTTCCCCCGGAAACGGTATATATTTATTTGATATCTGCATTAATTTACTTCAATAAATCTTCAACTCAACTGTAAGAACAACTTGAAAATCATTGTTTGCCTCTGCTGAAGACTTCACCCCTACCTGTGTATTAATGGTAATAATTGGAACATCGTGGGAAAAAATGTGCTCCCCCTACCTGTACCTCCCCTCTCCCTGTCACCTATGCCACTATATATATATGTATATATATACAAAGTATACATATAGTTGAAAATAATATATCAAGATAAATCTACACTTTAATTATTTGACATGCCAACAGTAAACATAAAATGGCTCCTACATAAATGTTGCATTTTACACCAGTGGTCAACCATAAATGAACCTGTAATGTCTCTTCAAAGCGTTGCATGGTCAAACTCATACCCCCACCTACTTTAGTTTAAGCCTGTCAAATACGAGCGAAGTGAGACCTCTTCGTTTTTTTCCCAATCCGACTTAGACTGATCCCGACTATGACTTTAAGTTCCAACCTGATGCGAGAGATCCCAATAATAATGACGTAAAATTGTAATACACTTTTTCGACAAAAGTTTGAGTTTTTATTCATTGCAAGTGTGTGAAAAAGAAAACAGCGCCGTGGTTTAATCCGTCACGGGGTTGTCTTGTGTTGCAGACGGGGCGGGGCTTAATATTTCACAGTCTACGGGGCGGGGCTTTGAATTCCAAAGTGGAGTCGAGTTTCCTCCCGATACGTCACTCCGGGATAGGCTGCGAGCTATTGAGCAACGCTGTCAGTCAACGGGGTTTCGGGCTGGTTACCTCCGCGTCTACGGGTAAGAAAAACCTAGAAAATAGTTCGTAATTCCCGCACAACTATATCAAAATCTTCTTTTGTTAACGTACCCGACTAAACGTGAGGTTTTTTTGTGAAGTGACGCCTCACGCTTTAAAAAAAAAAAGACCCGTTTGAAAGTTTTTAAACGGTGCACGTAAAACTGGAACGGAAACTTTTGTCGTGAAGGCCTTGTTCTTGTTATTTTGTGGCAACAGGTCCACTTCACGGCAGCAAATTAACACACCTGTATTTTTATTTTTTTTAATTTGTAAGTCGTATTAGTTTAACTTCCTAAAATAACGATGTGCTGTGTTTTTTTTTCTTTTTTTTAAATGCAGAATCGGACCCCCCAGACAGGAGAAAGTAGCCTTGCCCATCGCGGGTTTCAGGCTCTGGGATTAAAGTGATCGCCAGTCCCGCAGCTTTCGTCGAAACTGCCGGCGGGGATTTATGCTGTGTTGGCTTAGCTAAATGCGGTACGAAGCTAAAATGATGCCGGTGAGTTTACAATTTATTCACTTAAGCTACAAGTTTTATCGTCCTGTGGCTCTGTATTCATGTTGTTAACACTTGTACTGCCCGGACAGACACGTAATGTGTTACCACTGCTGGACATTTAAATTGGATGCGGTTGTTACCATGGGTTATTACTATGGCAACACAAGCTTCTGTAGTGAAGTTTATCACCTGTGACAGATGTTAGTTATTGAGTCATTGTGATCAGTGCATGGCGGTGTAAGTTACATCATTTATTTGCTTTGTGGGATGTGACTCTGCGGATACATGGATGTATATCTTACAAGTAACCCAGTTCAAAGTCTCCATGCCTTGTCAGGTACTCAGAGCCAGTACCTGATAGACTATAATAGTTAATTCACTTGCATGTGTATGTATTCATACACAACAAGCAAACATCACCTGCCAAGCTTTGCTTACACTACTATGCAAACCTTAGCACTAGACTCCTGCCATGTTATCACCCATCATCATCATCATCATGAACATCTTCAACACCGTCGTCAGAGGTACATTACTTTTGCTGCAGTGCAAGCCTCTATTTCTCAGCATTACTTCGCTATGTGTAGAGAGGGCAGCAGATAGAGGTGTGTGTGTGTGTGTGTGTGTTCCCTGTAGAGAAATACCTTTCAAACAATTCAAAACAGTTGTTTTTAATAATGCAGGATAACTTCTCTGTTGTGGCTGCTTGCTGGAAATAAGCGAGCAAAGGTTACCGAGGTGTTAACTGGATTTGTAATTATTAATCATTTGAAACCAGCTAAAAATCTCATGTCTACAATTCATCTACCCGAGAATGACACGGTTTAAAGGGCAGCAATTTACAAGTTCTAATTGTGAAGGATTCTGGAAAAAATAGTGAAAAGCACCTTCCCCCATTTCTCAGAGCCCAGGGCAACATTTATTTCTTCAACTTAGGGACAGTGAGAGAGATTTTTTTTTAACACAGCCATCATAATAAAAAAGATGAAGGTCACTTATTTATGAAGCTGAATGGAGAAATTGTTTGGCTCTTTGGATTGTTAATCAACCTTATGATTAATCTGTTATCGAAATGATTGCCTGTTCATTTTCTGTGAATCGGCTAAATCCTGCATAATCTTTTTTTTGTTTGTTTTAAAACGAGTACAGTTCCAGCTCTCGTGGCCATAATGTTTAGTTTATGGGAGGAAAGGACTGTTATTCTCAGAGCCGTGATATCACAACTTGTTCTGAGCGGAGTTTCTCTGGGTATTTCTGGACCCTTTTTTTTTTGTCTTTGGTGAACAGATGTGTAAAGTCACAAGCTGTACAACACACAGGTACACTTTGTTAACAACCAATGAACATTCTAGGGTAATCCTCTGTTTTTGTATGTTAAGATACTATTGTCATCCATCTCTTCTCTGAGCTGCTGCTGCGTTTCCACTCACACAGCTTGATTAGTGAATTAATCATTTAAGCTGTGGAAACAGTCGTATTTAGATGACTCCTGTCTGGTGCATGTCCTCCGTCTGCTCTTGACACATACTCATTTGTTGTGACAAGGAGCCCTTCTTTTGGACACCAATGTAAATTCAAATTGCCACATTAACATGTGAAATACCAAGATCTGTTTCCCAAAGGCCCCATCAGACCTTTTTTTTTTTACAAGCACCTTTATGCCTATTCTGTCACCAGAGAATATATCGACGTGTGTTTTGTTGTGTTTGAATGAGATACAGCTTCTGGCGTTCACCTGATAAACACAAAATGGCTTCTATATAGCCATGTCTGATGCCATGTATTGTCTTATGAATTACAGCCATAGTCCATGACCCTGCTCGTACAGGCCAGGGGCTCGGGGGTAGTGAGAGTGTAGTGTCGTAATTGCTGGCTGGGATGGTAAATAGGGGGTCACTGTTTCCTGAACACAATGAGCTGCAGGAACGCTTTAAAAGCATGTTGTTGGGAGCACATTGTGTGTGTGTGCCTGTGCTGTGGCAGCTCCCTGATAAGGGATGCTTGCTCTTTATTGAACCATAGCATGGTTTAACTATTTTACGCCTGATTTACTGGTATGTCTAAATAGGTCATTGTTGTGTAGACACTTATTACTGCAGCATTAGGGCCTGAATTCTCTGCTGGTTTATTATTCTATATTTAATTTTTGTGTCTCTGAAGATAAATTGCGTTTAATAAGCGAGAACGGAGAACCAACAGGATAAAGAATATCAGGGAAAAGTTTTTACATGACTTTGGATTTCAAGTGTTGGCCTGCACTTGTCCCTTCCTCATTCCTCTCCCATGACACGAGTTGCTTGTTGTGTAGATTTCAACACTGATAAACGTTTTGTGCCTTGCACGCATAATTTAGTTTTGCATCTGTTGCCCAAACACATTTGTACCTTTCTCAATTACACGGTACAACATTATCCCACTGTTGCCTCACTGTGCAGCGCTGTCATGATGGTGGGAGAATACAGTGATGCTTGGGAATCCTGATTTTGCTGTGTGTGTGTGTCAACAGAAACCTGAACAGGCTTTCTTTCTGTTCACCATAGACATTGTGTTTACTCCATGGGAGAGTGTGTGGTGGTTACGTAAGCAGGCCGACACAACTCTGATAGCAAAGGACATTGAAGGGCAATATTGTGACTTTTATCTTCATGAAGAATAGTTATCAAGATTATTGTGTTAGCTGAAGAGACTGTAGTAAAAACAGCAGACGCGGCATGCAGGGATTCTCTGCTGCCAACCCAGCATGATATTAATTAATACATCCACACATTCAAAGTCGCAAAATTATTTTGTCAAAGGAAAACTAATAGATAACACAGTCAATGCAGCATCACATTAACCTGCGTTTCTGAGGAAAGTGGCCCAGAGTTTACTTGAGCAGGTGTCATCGTACCCACATTGGAATATTGAGTGACAAGTAATCATGCAGCAAGGACATTGTGACAGCATTGTCTAAGGTTGCAGCGCTATTCTTCTAGCCGTGGTGAAAAGAGAGGCCATGGTTCAGAAGTGTATCTGGGGTAGTCTGAGAGTCCGCCTTGACCCAAATGGTCCCAGGAATTTAGAATATAGAGTCCAGAATGTAAAGATCCTTTTGTGCCTTCCACTCCGCACCATGTCTAAAAAGCCATAAAGATAAGTTAATTAGACTGATAACAGAAAGCCTTGTTACTAGAAGCAGAGTTTTGTAGTCTTGTGTGGGGAGACAGCAACACAGTACAATGTTCTTTGTAATTTACAGCTGTGTTTATGAGTGGGTGTTCTGTGCATTACAGCTTGGTTTTAATATCAAACATTTACTGGCATGGTAGGATTTTAGGCTCTCTTAGGACTTTAGTCTAGGTTTCTAAAAAAACAGTACCTGCTATAGCTTGTGTGGTGACAAAAACTATTGTTAATGAAGTCAATTTAGATCCTGGTTCCTGAGGTTATAACTTATGTTCCAGAGTCCTTAAAAAAAAAAAAAGTTCCTTGAAAAGTTTCTGTAATGGAACCAAGCTGCAACCTCTGGTCTTAAAAACTGAAGCCGATGCGGAAGTGCACATTCCTACAGTTACTCGAGTGTCCGCTTGAGGCTGGCTCCAGGAACACCAGAAGTCACATACACATGACTGGCAAAAAAAAGCCATTTTTACAGCATAAAGAAACATGTTTACAGCGTGGTACAAAAAAACGGAAAATGTCTCATTAGTTATTGTTCATGTGAATTTTTTAATAACAGCTCTGTTTTGATTTTGAAAACGATACTTGTTATCCATAGTGAGGCGCGTAGCTGACGTGATTGGCAGGTGGGCGCGATGTAATGGTTCGTCAAGAGGCTTAAAACCCACCTCAGCTTCTGTTCTTAGCTTGTCGTTAGGTTGGCTGAAAGTTAGGCTGAGACAGGATTTCCAGCATGGCTGCGGCTGCTGATGAGCCTCCAGCGCCCCCTTGCCTTAAAAGATGGCTGACGTCACTCAGGCTTCATCCATTAATATTTACAGTCTATGAGTGGAACGGGGCTTTTGTGCTCTTGCCTCCATTAATCACCTGCACTCCTGCTTGACCAATGTCTTTTTTGTATATCACAGATTAAAAACCACAAAGACATCATTCAGTGTGCATTTTTTTTTTCCCAGGAAGCCAATTAGTGTGTTTGAATTGCTGCCTCTTGGCTTTCAGATTCCCCTTTTGTGATAAGTTTTGCATATGGTAATTTACCATGTAACAGTGAATGCTTCACTTGTAAGTCATTTTGTAGCACTTGTAAATTTCAATCTGTGCACATTATGCGATATAATTACCAGTTTTCGGCGGTCTTGCAAACTCTTGTTACTCTAAATGACCTCGTCTGACAGTCAAAGAGGGCTTGGGAAAAAGAGGAGACATCCTTTCCGTTCTGCTGCATAGTCTCTCCCATTTCCCTCATCTCCAAGATAAGCACAAAGTTGGAACTGTCTCATCACGTAGACCAGAAATGGAAGAGTTTTGCGAGAGGGCAGATTATAAAGTGATAGGCTAAGTACTGCAGTGCAGACTGAGAGGAGAGTTGTCCTGATCGGAGAGGTTCAGCTCGCTGCAGCTTCAGTGTGTTGTAAAAGCTGCTCTGGTGTTGTTGTTTTTTTTCTAAATGTTGCAGCTGAATGAGACTTCTGTGCATTCTGATTCCCTCTGTGTCCTCCTGCTGGTTGCCACTGACCTTTTCTCCCTGGCCCCTTCACCCCTTGCTTTGCAGCATAAAGAAACTAAGAGAGAGTGAAAAAGAGATGAAGAGGAATAATGTATAAAGTCATTAGGGAGTTTCTGCTGCCTTGCCTTTTTGAAGGACTGCTATGCTGGAACCGTGTCAACTCTGGAAGCCGTGGCAGGGAGAACCGAGACCCACACACGAGAGGATGATGCTGCAGTGTCTTACACACTCACTGTAATCAGATTCAGAGGTGACTCCCTCAACGAGGCCTAGTTGAGTCATTCGCTTACCACAGCAATATCTTAATTGAAAGTGTGTGAAGACAGAAGGCCCA